TCTTTACGTGTCGCCACAAAGTAGAGTATTTCAGGCAAGCATTTATTTCGTCCGCTGGTGTCGATCGAGGAATTAACAGGTAATGTTTGCCTGAAATCTCCTGCCAGCAATATTAATGCGTTCCCAAATGGTCTGATGTTTCCACGCAAATCTTGCAATGATCGATGAAGAGCCTCAGGCGATTTTTTTTGTGCACCATTGTGCATTCATCCCAAACAATAAGTTTGCATTTCTGCAATACCCTTCCCATGCCTGATCCTTTGGAAATGTTGCACGTGGGAGTTTCAACGAATTGCATGTTTAATGGCAATTTCAAAGCGGAATGAGCAGTTTTTCCACCTGGTAACAATGTCGCAGCTATTCCGGACGACACAAGAGCTAAGGCTATGTCATTTTGGGATTGAATTGCTGCCAGAATCAATCTAATTAGGAACATTTTACCAGTTCCTCCTGGCTCATCTAAGAAGAAGAATTCTGCAACCCTGTTATTGACAGTTTGCATTATTTGATCGTAAATGCCTTCTTGCTCAAGCGTTAGCTTAGGAATTTTGATTGCACGTATGACAAAAGATCACCCATGTTGTAATTTTGTTCACGACACAATTCTACATTGAACGAAGCAGCAGCAGATCGATTTGTTGATGGCATTCCCAGTTGATTGAGAACTTTATTCGTGATTTCTAAGCACAACTCTTCAGTCATTATCAACGCTTCGTTGCAGATTTCTGCTGTGAAATTCATGTTCATATTGGAATTTTCCTTGCATATTCAACGGAAAATATCTTCAGCCATGTGCGATTTATATTTCTCCCATAACTCTGTTGGCGATGAAGGAGAGCAGGCGGTCAGTATGATTGCAAACAATGCATGAATTTGATGTGGATGTGACATGTTGCACACGTCAGTAATGCATGTAGTGTGTTTGGGTATGTCACGCTACAAATAACTTTACGCCGTATTAATTATAGCGAATCTTTATTGTAATTCACTTGCACACTTTACAATTATTGCCACTTGCAGTATTAGAGTTACTGGTTACACAATCTCTCGGCCAATACTTCTGTATCTCTTGGCCTCTAGGTTCCAACCTTCTTCAGCGGCAGCTATTCCAAGACTGACTGGGCGAATGAAGTCAACCCTCTTTTATACCCTCGGCCACTGCTATGCAAATGAGCCTTTGTCATAACCACGGAAACGCTGCTTTGTTGATTCCACGATTCCTACGCAACAATCCATTGTTATTGCATTGTCTCTGTAGGAACGCTCCGTGTATTCATTGTAACCGTGGAGATTCGATACAGTATCGCTATTGTTACTTCCTATGCAACGGTCTGTTCTAGCATTTCCATAGGGGTGACTCTTCTGAATTCAAAATTCCAATTCTGTTTTTCAAAAGAAGCATGTTTTTACGTGTCACAGGTCTGACATTTATATAATAGGCATATAAAAACTCACGTATTTTAATGCAACATTGTATCAAAATTTCAAAGCAATCGGTGAAGAACTTTCGGAGATTTGAGATCCTGAACAAATGAACATTTACATTTTTATTTATATGGAAGATAACACATGCTCTACAGATATAAATGACCGTTCTGTTTTCAACTTCATTCCAGGTAGACAGAAATGATTGTTTTGTGTGATTTGTGTGCAAACCTTGTTTTATGAAGACATATCTGTAGCAGCTATCACATTGTGAACTTGCTGACATTACACAACAACATTCATAAAACTCTGTATGAACCTTGGAAAGATGGCTACAGAAACCTATTAGAAGCTTAAACCTGCACTTGGAGAACAGCATTATTTACACTAGAATATTTGAAAGAGTTTATTCAATTTAAAAAGGACAAAATGTCTGTCAGATTTGATGATCAGCTTCCTGTCCTTAACCATTTAACTGTGAGGAACAGGTGCTCACTTGTGATGATTCATAATAACAGGCAGTCAGCGAAACAGGTGTTTTGTTTGGATGTTCTGGAATATGTAAGAAATGGGACTGGATGGAACTAGCCTTAAGAATAGAAGTCATGTTTGTAAATATTTCATCACAACATTGCAAGGCTTGTTCATTATTCTCCTCACCCATCTTCCCAGGATTAAGCAAGTAATTCCTTCTCCTCTGACCCCTCTCTGTAAGTGAAAAAATTGTTGAAAACTGCAGAGATAATCCAGAGTTTGACGTAAGTGTGAGACATTTTTGAAAGCAGAGTATCAGACACTCTTTAACAAGTGATAAGACCACTGAAACCATTTTGTTAAACTAGAAGGTGATTACATTGAAGGGGATTTTTGATTAACAGGTGTCACTTTAATTTTACAGAGAAAAATTCCGGGAATTTTTTTACTCTCCCTTTTATGCTGCATCATGTTTCTTCTGATTGGTGTCTTTAATATGTATGGGTGTGTTGTTTTGCTAGAGTGAGGGTCTTACACCAGATGATGCTGTGTTGGTGATTCAGCGATACTATAGGAACTGGCGTCATGGAGAAAAGCCAGCTTCACACCAACAACATCACCGGAAATCCAGCAAACTGGCGTCAAGTCACCAGCAACAAGCCAATAAAGCACCAGACAGGCAGGCAGAACTTATATCCTTTTCCCATAACGTGAGTTTTATTTTTTATACTGTTAAAAGCATTTAGAAAATATGTGAAGAAGGAAGTTTCATGTTCAACCTCAATGTGTTTTCATATATATTTTATATAGCTGTACCTCGCCACGCGTTGCTGTGGCAGATTGAGTGAATTAAAAAATTCTGTTAGATAATTAACCGCTTCATCTGCTTCCACAACAGTGTCGACGGACTTGTATGTGACTGCCTCGCAATGAATGTTAGACTGAATGATATTGTTAAGTCCGTAGACGTCTTTGCTCTTGGCCGCAAGAATAGCTCGTTCACTCAGCCAGTCGTGATTCTTATAATTGGTTTGAATATTGGGAAATACTTTTTCAACCAATTCTTCTTTTGACGTCACTAAATTGCAGAAGTTGCACGTGGGAGTTTCAACGAATTGCATGTTTAATGGCAATTTCAAAGCGGAATGTGCAGTTCTTCCACCTGGTAGCAATGTTGCAGCTATTCCGGACGACACAAGAGCTAAGGCTATGTCATTTTGGATTGAATTGCTGCCAGAATCAATCTAATTAGGAACGTTTTACCAGTTCCTCCTGGCTCATCTAAGAAGAAGAATTCTGCAACCCTGTTATTGACAGTTCGCATTATTTGATCGTAAATGCCTTTTTTGCTCAAGCATTAGCTTAGGATCACCCGTGTTGTAATTTTGTTCATGACTCAATTCTACATTGAACGAAGCAGCAGCAGATCAATTCGGTGATGGCATTCCCAATTGATTGAGAACTTTGTTCGCGATTTCTAAGCACAAATCTTCAGTCATTATCAACGCTTCGTTGCAGATTTCTGCTGTGAAATCCATGTTCATATTGGAATTTTCCTTGCGTATTTGACGGAAAATATGGCAAGTTCTGTTATCGATGATGGAGGTGGATAGCGCACAAGCAGATTGCTCTCCAAAACAGACCACAAAGGCTCAATAATATTGATATCTGGCAATTGTGGGGGCCATGGCAAACATGACACTTCATCTTCGTTCTCAGAAAACCAGTCCTGGACAATGTGAGCTATGTGAACACAGGCATTGTTGGCTTGGTAAATGGCATCACCATTAGGGAACAAAGTTTGCACCATGGGATGGACCTGGTTGCCCAAAATGGTCACATAGTCGTTGGCAGTGACGTGACCTTGCAGGGTAATGATGGGTCCGACAGAATACCACGATATGGCTGCCCATACAATGATCGAACCCCTGCCATGTTTCATTCTTGGCAGCAAACAATCCGGATCATAAGCTTGGGATGGTGTTCTCCAGACGTAAACTCGGCTAGAAGTCGGAAACAGTGTGAAGGTGGACTCATCCGACCAAATGACCTTCCATTGCTTCATATTCCAGGTTTTATGACTTCGGCACCACACTGTCCTCTTAGTGGCATTTTGATCACTGATGAGTGGCTTTGGAATTGCAGCTTGTCCAGGAATACCCTGCTCATGGAGTTCCCTTTGTACTGTTTTGGTGCTGACAGGGTTTGTGAGCATGACATTCAGTTCAGCAGTCACTTTTGCAGCTGTAGTGTTCTTATTTTTCGTCACAATCCTGCGCAATGTTAGACTGTCTCAATCACTCAACGCACATTTCCATCGACGCTGGTGTTTATCAGATGTGGTTTTTTCAGTCCTCCTGTATGCGGTCATAATCTTGGATACTGTGCCTCGTGAAACACCAAAAACCTCGGTTACCTTGGTTATGGAAGCACCCACCATATGGGCCCCAACAATTTGCCCGTGTTCGAATTCTGTTAGCTCTGACCTGATGCACAAAAAATTGCACAGAACACTGTCTCGACAACAAATGAAGCTTGCAACGTATTGAGGAGGTTGTACAGGTAGTGGTGTTGGGCAGATATGACAGTGTGACCTACAAACATCACTAAAATAAACAGTTCAGGCATGCGTTTCATGAGGTGTTTCCATATTTTTGTCCATCCCTGGTACATCTTGTATATGTGCTACAGCCAAGGGACAAAAATCTTTGCCTTCAAATGGCTTCTATGCAAAATTATAGATGAACCTGACTTCATGCCATCTATTTGTGGACTGATAATGCAGCATTCACAAGAACTGGCATCAACTAACTCCACAACCTACACTGAATGGGCATTGGGAAATTCTCATCGTACTCAAAGTTTTTCATTCCAGCAAACACTGAACATAAGTATTCTTGGGCTTCAGTTGTAGGAAACTGCCTGATTGGACCGTACATGGTAGTGAATCATCATGGTGAAATCCAGTACACTAATTTCCTAGAAAGAACACTTCCTCTTTTATTAGAGGATGTACCCCTTAATGTTCACATGGATATGTGGTTTCAGCACATGTGGCTTCCCCACTATACTGTGTATACTTCATGTGCATAATTGGTTGAACAGTCATTTTTTGGAAATGTGGATCCACCATGGGGATTCAGTCATCCTGTGGTCCCCGCATTCTCCTGATCTGAATCAACTTTATATTTTGTTGTGGGGATGGATCAAAGATAGTGTGTATGCTAAAGAATTACAAGATCATGACAACCTAATAATTCATATCCCGGTAGCTGCAGCAGACATTCAGGACCAACCAAGATAATTGGATCCTGTTAAAGACTCCATTCGATATTACCATGAAGCATGCATGTGTCTTATGAAGAAATTCACATATCTGCATGTGACTTCTCACTACTGATAATATCTTTTTATTAACAATAATGTAAAATTCAAACCGAAAAGAGCTAATAATTTCAGAATCTTGTTGAAAGTAATAAATGAAGATCTTATACGTAAATAACTGAATGCATACATGAATGAGGAATTAGTTCATTTTTTAAAATTGATAAGGGCGATGACTCAAAACAACAATTTATTTACATTTTCTGCTCCTAATTATCTCCCTTACAACCTCTGAACTCTGGCTTCTGAACTGTGAATCACTTTGCTTACAAATAATAAGTTACCAAATAAATTTATATGGACAGAAGCAGACAGAACGTCTAAATATAATTGCATAAAGCAACATTCTGATAATGAAGTATGTGTTATAAAGTGAAAAGAGACAATGAACAAAAATGGAAACAGAGTTGTTAGTTGTTGTTAAAAGGAGATTATATATCTTTTACAGCATTACA